CCGCAGAGCATCGGGACTCGCCTCTCCCCGCAGCCCCGCGCTCCCCGGAGCGTCCCCCGTGGGTCCCCAGGGATGTGCGCGGGGTGCGGGAACGCCTGGGCAGGAGTGTTGATCCTCGTTTGAAGCGCGTTGTTGGTTTTCATCGGGGTTTGCCGTGTGGCTGAGAGACGGTGGTCAAGTTGTGAAAGTTATTATAGGCGAAGTGACTGTCTTGTAAGGGTTCCAGCTTGATAAAATAAACAACTTCCCTGTGCACAGTTACAAGTAAATGTTTTCAGAACAATTGGGTGAAGAAACGTAGTTTTCAGGGACCTTGAAAGATACATAGTTTTGCACGTCTATAAAACTTTTATGTCAGTTGTTCTGGAGTTTGGGGGGGATGATCCCGGTTTTGTGAGCGTGGATGTTGCCACCAGCCTGGCAGGTGGTGTTTGCAAGGGGCTGCATGTGTGCCTTGTGTTCCAGGTCTAGCCCTCTTCAACTGACAGGGTTGAGATAGTGACAGGCAAGGGCTAGAAGGAAAGCTCTCAGGTATGCATGGTCGCTTGTATGGTTTTTGGTGAAGTTTATAACTAGTTCTGGGCTCCTCAGGGCTGTCATGAAGCTGGGAGATGCCCCCATCTGCTTCATGGTGTGGCCACCATCTAACTTCACGGTGGTCCATGTGCTGCTACTAGTATTATATCTGCAGTTTGGGAGAGCATATTAACAATAAACCTTATAAAATATAGTGATGAGTACTGTTATTTTCTTGAACTTCATGATTCTGTAAGGAACTGTGTATGGAGTGATGAACAAATCTCCTGATATTTTGTACTAAAATGATTAAAACAGTATGTTACAATTCAGAGGAAATACTAACTCTTGCCATACTTTTGTCATATTCTGTCATAATTTAATGTTAAGTGAATATAATTGTGAATCTTTGACATAATCATAATTAAACAACTATCCATGTACATTGCTGTGCAGTACAGAACTGCTGTGAGTAGCAGTTGTTTCTCAGGGAGATTTCTGAGCAAGTAAACTGATGATGTAACTGAGATGAGGTGTTTCTTACAAACTGTGAGACCCTTGACTCTTAAAAAAACCCCGGAAAACAAAGAATAGCAACAAAAGAGCATCCATAATAATGCTGTAAACAAGTTATTTATTCAGGGTCTGTGCAGATGGGAAAGCCTGAGTTCTAGCTTTGGAGCTGTGCATGCACTGTCCACTAGGTGTTCATAGAAATTAAACTGAAATGCCATTGGACTAATTTGAGGTGGTTGCAGTGGTTTGCCTGTTAGTTAGGAATTTTCCAGCAGAAAACTGTTTTTCAAACTTGCAGCTCTTGGCAAGAAGCTTCATTTTTTACCAGAATGGTGTTGTTGGGTAAACTGAATCGAACATTCTTGCTCTTGGAACAGCTTGCTTTTTCTACTTTGCCTCCTGTTTTGACTTCTTCATTATTAGATGTAGTAAGGAGCTTGGAAAATGACTTACTGTAGAGCCAGATCACATTTTTAAGAGGAATGTTTTAGGTCACAGAAGTCACTTTTAACAGAACTTTTGATCCTTGTTTTCATACCCAGTGACTTCTTGTAATTTGGATCTAATTCCAGTCTAACATTTCGGTGGGTTTGCCTGTGCAGTTTCTCGGTCATCTTTAGGTGTGGGGTTTGCAGGGTTGTGGTTCAAAACTTTTATCCTAGTGACTGTAAAACTTCTTTAATTTTTGCAGTTTCGTTCATGAAGAGCTGATCAGTGGCTGTTGAGAACACTGGTGATGATCAGTGAAACTTGCTCTAGGACTCAATGGGACTAAAGTGGCCTTGAGAGAGGAGCTCATTTTCTGTCAAATAACTAATCCCACTTTATTTAAACAGACACCCTGCTTCCTGGTCAGAAATGTGACTGCTTAAAAGGCTTTAAAAAAAGGCTTTAAAAACTGGTTGTACTTTGTGTTTAATTTAACCTCCCCTGGAAAAAACCTCAGAACTTATTAAATGTTTGGAGTGATAAGGTTTATCAATGTTCTGTTCTTTTTAATTCTATTTTATCTGTGCCATTGAAGCTGGTTCCAGTTACTGGTTATATGCCATTTATAAGTTTGGTCTCTTGAATGACATTGAAGGCAATATGCAAGCTGCAGCCATTCCAGACATCATAGATTCCCACAGAAATGATCAAGTCTTCACAGGTTTTTCACTTATTCTGAAGACTCAATATGATTAATTAAAGTCATTAATTGAAGTAGCTGGGACTTGGGGAAGAGCAGTTCGGTTTCCACTCTCTGCCAACAAGTGAAAAGAGTTCTTGCATACCTGTCTCTTGAGTGCTTGTTCCTGAAATGACAGCTGTCATAGCATGTGAAACTGAGCTTAATATGAAGAGATGCTTTTTCGTAGGAAGGAAGTGGCTTTTGCATTTGACAAGTGTTTCTTTTCCCAGCGATAACTCCCAGGTGTTCCAGGCCAACGTTCTGCGAACCCGCAGGAACAGCACCACAGTGATGAGTCGCCACAGCCTGGTAAGAAAACTTAGATCACCTGCACTGGGCCCAAAGCAGAAGTGTGCAAGCAGGATTAAAGAAGAGAATGAGGTTCTAGTCTGTGAAACTAATACCACATACTTTCAGAAACAAGGCTCTAAACTATGACATTAATGCGCTGTAGCTATAGTGGAATTTTATTTGTAAACCATTTGGCCTTGGAGAGCACTTATATTCCATTGTGAACATAACTTTGTTTATAAAATGCAAGCAGATGTTCTAAGGTGGAGTAAGAGGTAATTCACAAAGAAAACCGATTACATAAATGTATTGTTGTCCAGTAACTAACGTGCTAATCATTCCTGATTTTTGAGAAAAGTGCAATGATGGTCTGATCTCATTACTCCTTTAAAGAGCAATGGGAGTACAGACTGTTGTTTAGTAAATTAAATTTAACAAAAAGAGGTTGACAAAGTCAAAACCCACTTTTTTGTATCTAGGAAAACTAATCCCAGTTTTATTGCAGTGTAAACTCAAATACAGAGAGTTAAAGGATTCAATAAATGACTGAAACTGTGTTAATATTTAGCTGTGCTTATAAAGCTGAAATATGTTTTGTTAAACTTTATGGGGGGAAATTATTAGTCTTTGTCTGGTGTGTGTTGTGTTCACTGTCATGGGAGCAGCAGGAGTTACTGAAAGGCTCTGACACCTGAGGGTCATGCTCTGTCTAGCTCCATCTTCAGGGCTGGTGTGATTCTCCCAGTTGTTCAGCTGAATTCTAAATCCTCTCCTTTTTTCGGTAGCTTCTCCAAGTCTCACACTCCAGCTCCTTCATAATTATGACTACAGTGGCAGCTATGCCATTTTGGCTGGGGCTTAATCTGCAGTTTTCTGACACCACATGTTGTTGCCCAGGAAGGGTCAGCTAGGCTTAGGGTCTGCTGGTTATTACCTTCCAGAAGAGATCAGTGGCATGTAGTGATGTAGTAAGTGTTTTGGTGGGTTTTGTTGGTGTGGTTGTGGTTTTTGTTTTGTCATTCAAACCAAGCATTTTAGTCTGTGGTTAGATGCTTGGCTATTATTTTGATTATTTTTAATTTTTATTTTTTTTTTTTAGGCTAGGTAAGTTCCCTGTTGGGGTTCACTGTGTGGCCCCAAAAGTGGTCGTGTTGGCAGAAGGCAGAGGGCACTGCAGGGCTGGCAGTGGGAGGGCAGAGGCCCCAGGGGCAGGTGGCTGCTGACTCTGGCTGTGCTGCCTGCCAGACTGGCACTTTGAAACCTTATCTTCAGTGCCAAAGCTTCTCTAACGTCCGGGAGAAGGCAAGAAGGGGAAGGTGTTTTTCTGCTGTGTGATACTGTGATAGTTTGTAATGGTTTTTATTAAGCTTTGTGCTTTTGGTTTTTATTAAGCTTAAAACATTGGAAATTTGAGTAGCAACATTTTAACAAACACATTCAGTCTGCTTTAAAAAGTATCCCTTAAAAGTGACCAGGGTTTCTTTTCACAAGGATGACATGAAGCGACTACAAACAGGGGAAAAGTGGGTTTTAAGCAGTGTGAAAGCAAGGATCATGACTGCTGGAGACAAGATGTAGGTTCCTCAGAGTCAGTGGGTTTAGTTAGTCCATTATATCCTACAGAGGAACACTGAACTGTCTTCCTCTCATTTTTATTTTACACTGCAAGCCACTGGTTTCATATCTATTCTATTAATGTCAAACCTTAAAAGTATGTGGATCACAGTCATAAAATTAGAATATGATGAGTGAAACAAATGCATTTCTGCTGTGGAGTGACAGAGTAAATAGGCAGGAATGTACTATTGTCCAGATCCTTTTCTCTCTATGAGAATCAAGGTCCACAGTGGCTGGTACAGCTTGGAGGAATTCTTATTAGGTGCACAGGATTTTTGGGAGCCCAGTATAAGAGTAAAGCTGACTTGAACTGGGCAACAGAAGTAGCAAGTGGAAACCTGGGAGCTGTTAGACTTCAGTGGTGTACATTATGGTGAGTAAATTCTGGCACAAACATTAGACATCCTCTCTGTGAGTGTTCTAGCCTAATATCTTCTGTGAGAGAAACAGCCTGCTGTTTGTTTTTATAGAGGGAAAGAAAAAAAGACCACAACCACACAACAAACAGATATATTTTTAGTTTGGGGTACCACTGCAGGGTGGTTTCTAGCACTCCTGCACCTTTCAGTCCTTTCTCCTGTAGTTTCCAAGTGTCTCAGTTGTCTGTGGTTTGTTTTGCAGTTTGTGCCATCATCTCCCCTCCGTATTCCTAGCAGCCGCCTTCATCAAATCAAACAGGTGAGCACAGGTTCCAGTTTTTTCACATTTAACTTTTTTATAGGTAGTTGGGTTTTTTGTGGGGTTTTTTTGCAGTGTAAAGGCCTTCAAACAGCTACAGATTTTAGTCTGAAACTAGTCCAGAGTCTGCTGCAGTCCACCACTTCAAGGTGTTTTCAAATGTGAAGGCTTTGCCTTGTCTGCTGAGCTCTAAATTTCATTAATTAGAAGGCATCTTATAGTGAAAAGAAGATTGGAGCTGAAAGGGAAATCTTAAAATGGACATTTTAGGAAGAGAACCTTGAATGTAAACCCCCAGGGTAAAGTTTCACCAAGTTTTTGGCAGTTGTGCCAGCATAAATATTCAGGGCCAATAACAAAAGTGTTCCTTAACTTGTGTTGGCACAAGGCTTTTGTACAGCCAGAACATGAACTGGATAAGGAAGCACTCTGGCTAAAAAAATAGTTTAGACTCCTCTGGTGGGGCTATTTTTCATCTGTATAATTTTTCTTATCCAGATCACTGTAGTTGTGCTGTCACAGCAGGAGCAGAGGGGGAAGGGCACAAGAGCAAACACTTGGGAAGGGAGGGGAGTGTGTGGCAAATATCTGAGCAGGCTTAAATAGCACTGCTACCAGACAGCAGACTGCAGGCTGAAGACTCAAGATTTAAAATCAACAAGCAGAGACTTGTGACTCCTCCATTTTTGATCAACGTTTTACAATAGAATGTTCATAAAATTGACTTGAAGATGCTTGATTTTTATTTTTTTTTACAGGTTTGTTTTTTTTTAGCTTGTTAAGTTTTCAGGAGGTATGTTTGATTTTCACAGGGTTAAAAGAAAACAATACAATACAATGCTTCAGACAGCATTTTCAGTATGGTGTCTGAAGGTACTTTGCTTCTCACCCCAGGTGTTTAAGGTGCATGCCTAGTAAGAAAGAACAGATTACTTTCATTATGTAAATAATGTAGTGTCTTTAGAGGCTCTGAAGCACTCAGGTCAGTTGTAGAGCTGTCTTTATCAACATAAAAAAGCTTAGGATTAATATGTGAATATGATGAGCACAAGGGAATGAACTGCTGTGGCTCTGCTAATTTAATTGAGTAAAGTTTGATAATTCAGGTTTTTAAAAATACTTCTGTATTCATATTTGTTCCACACATTTATCAAAGCAAACAATGACATTTTCTAATTTGTGTTTGATTGTGAAATTTGCATGTTGAAATGCCCTGTCATGTGAACTTCCTGGCACAGGTGTGTGATTCGCTTTTGATCTCTTTCAGGTCTTAGCAAATAACCACACATTTGAACTATGTTAGTCAGACTCCTCCTCCATATAGTGAAGATGTTTAGTTGAACTTTTATTCTGGATCTGGGCTGAATTAGGGCATCTGCTAATTCAGTACTCAGTTTTAAGGAGAGATGCATGACTAAGAGGGGATTGAGTCAAGTTTGTACTTTAACTTGGTGTTAACCTCTCATGTAATTTTACACCTTTGATCCATTTTAATAATGTTTAATGGATGTTTTAGAAAAAAAACCTATTGCACTGCAAATGAGTTGCTGACAGTCTAGTTAGTTACTAATACAGAGGATAAGGTAAGGATCCAGCCATACTTGTGGGAATTATCTGTGCTAGTTTCCAGTAGATGTATTTTCTAGTATCTGTACTAGACTGTATAAAGATACACTAGCACCTGGAAGATTTTTGGTTCATAGTATCATTGTTCATGGTTGTGTATCTATGTCCTGCATAGTAATGAAAATTAAAAAAGCTGCTTGAGAAACAACCGACTCCCATAAGCATTTCTTCAGAGGTGGTGTCAGTTGCTGCATCTCTTTTCCATCCTCTCCCCTTGCTCCTTTTCATGTACTGAGACCTTAACATCACAGTTGCTGAACCAAGATGAATTACATTTTCTGCATACCCAAGTGAAATGAAATTAGAACTTTTCTGATTTGCTCTAGCAAAGCTTTTTTTTTTTTTTTTTCCTTAATTTTTCATCTGCTAATCTTTTAGGAAGAAGGAATGAATTTGATGAACAGAGAAACCGTGCGTGAAAGGTAAGTTCTAAGGCAAACTAGAAGAGTTCATGCAGTCTTCTCTGGGCCTGGGACAATACATTTCTTTTCTTCTTTATAGAGAAGTGCAAGTAGCAATGCAGATGAGCCACTCATGGGAGGAGAGCTTAAGCCTGGTAATACATTCATGCTTTAATTTGTGTTTCTATTATCAGTATCAGGACACTAGAGACTCTCTCATGTCAACATTTTCTTTTATATTTTAGCCTACAGTTAAGGTGTTAGTATCTCACTGATTTTGATCAGCCATTTTTCACACTGAAAAGATGCAGAATTATCAGTTGTTCAAGAATACACGTGGGTTCCTAGGGCTGCTGTGTCAAAAGAAAATTGCATGGATGTCTGCTCATTCAAGTATTCTTCCATCTTCTGACACCAAGTCATGTTCAAGGCTCTTTTGGTGGTTATTAAGTACAAGTTCATAAATAGCTACTTAAAAAGTTATGAATATGATGGAGGATAACTTTGGCGTCCTCATTCCACAACAGTCAGCCCTTTTCATCTTAAGGTGGTTGCTCATAAGATTAATTGTATCTACTGTTCACAGAGCGACAATGATTTTGATAAATCATCATCACCAAAGCAAGTAGACTTTGTCCCAGTTTCTCCAGCTCCTTCACCTACCAGAGGAATAGGGAAGGTGAGCAAAATGTGGTAATGGTTTTGTCTTGAGTAGTGCTATATAAATCCAACCAGATTAATAGCAAAAGATTAAGCCACCTGCTCCTTTCTACTTCAGCTGCAAACAAGAAAATAGGAGGTAACTAAATGAACCCTGAAATCAACCAAAAATGAACCAAACCAGAAAATACCAGCCAGCAGTTTCCCATCTTGTGGATGTGTATTTCTGGGGAGTGCACAGCTGTTAACCTGGGGTTAATAAACCTTATTCTTTATTAGCCTTCCTCTTGGAATTACCTGAAGGGACATATGTTCTTATTTTATGAACCACAGTCTGTTTAACCAGACTCTGGTTGAATAAATCCTTGTCAACTTGCATGTATTCTGCATGAAAATAGAATCTGTCTAGGTTTTAAATCTTTGTTTCTCAGTAACAAGAAGTGAAATCTTGGTGTTCTCAGCCACAGTGATTGGTTGCTTAAATTGTCAGTGGATCCCTTGTTTACCTGGGATAAAGTTGTCACCATATGGGTGTGATACAGTGTTTCTTCACAAATAACACCATCTGTTCTTCTCTCAGCAATGCTTCTCACCATCTTTGCAAAGTTTGGTGAGCAGCAGTGGGTTACCTCCAAGTCCCAGCCCGAGTCCCACCAGGCGGTTTTCAAGGTGAGTGTCAGCTTATAGCAGTGCTAGAAAACTGGCATAGGTTGTTCACATTAGGCTTCTGAAATACCAGGATTTGTTTATATACATAATTGATTTCTGATCACAAGTACAACTTTATATCTTCATGTAAACTTTAGGTTTTGCAATGCTCTGAAGTATTTGTTAAAGTCTTCAGGTGGTAACGCTGGGGAAGTGGGCTGCCTTGTAGCATGTCTGCTCAGTATAGTCTGTACTGCTGTTAATCACATCTTAAGGAATTGAATTCTAAGGGGGGAAAAACCAAAAAAACAGATTTTGGGTTTGTTACTGATTCTAGTTTTAGTTGCATTGGATATTTTTTTGAAGGATGTGGGCATACAGTCACATTTAGTTAGGCCCTGTGTTGTCTGTCAGTTGAGGTCTAGTCAAAGCCTAGATGGGAGCTTCTAGGCTGCCCCAGCTGTGAAATAATGTGATTAAACTTTTCCTGTTAAGATTTTTCTTCAGAGGAAAAAAAAAAAAAATATATCTCTTTGGACAAGCTGCTTTAATGCCTATTTTCTTAGTGTTTTCACTTAGTAGTTTGTTATCTGAATGTCTTTTGATTCCTTACATGTTTCCAGGCTGCATCTATTAATGGGGATATCAGTATGACATGTGCCTTCTTTTAGCAGGAGAAGCCAGAGTCCAATCAACTGCATTCGACCAAGTGTTCTTGGGTCAATCAAAAGGAAAGGTACAGTATTTGATGTTGGCCATGATGCCAATGTGTTAAGTTTATAATAATTCCTATGGCTTTCCTCATAATTCTTTTAAGTTGGCTGATACTTCAAAGAGTAACCAGAAATAGGCAGTATTACAGATGACCAAGTAAACAGAACTGTTTGTGAGGATAAAACAAATAGTTAAAGTAGCTTTTACTGTTCCATAGAACTAACTGTTGTTCTGTTTAACGTCTCTCCATTGCTGTAGTCATACAGATCTGATAAAAACCTCATGTAGCCTGCTTAGCAAAGCAAGAAATATGACTATTGGTGTATTTCACAAGTTGAAAGGCCTGGCTCCTGTAGATATAAAATCACCCTTCAAAACCAAAAACTGATGCAGAGACCTAGTAAACACCTTATAGCTTGATTGGGAAATGCTTCTCTAGCATCATACATTTTTCTTCAAGTTTAACTCCTAGTTATTTTCTTGAATCTGTTTTTATATCTTCATGCTTCACCTTTGTAATAGAATGCTTCTGGTTCTGAGACAGCTTTTGAAATACTTCAGCTGAGTTCTGTCATAGCCTGTTTGGGCATCTATCTATCTTCTCTTCTACTGGTGTGTTTGGAAATCAAAGTCAATATATTAAGTTCAGTGATAATCCTGGGCCTTGTTTTAATTGATTGCAAAAGGAAACCAAGCTTTCCTTATTCTCAGCTTCTCTACTTCGGTCGAGCTAGTAACTGATAGCTGGATTAACTGAACCAAAAAGATTATTCTTCACTAGTGAAGAGTAAATATCTGATACTAAACCCCAGTTCCTAACTCACTAAACTTACCTGAAGCTTGGATTAAAATGTTTCCAAGAAACAGACAGTCTTTACAACTTCAGCATTCAACTTCTGTGCTTTACCTACAACACTCAATCTATTGTAACAAGTTAATTCTCTTCTGTTTGCTCTCTTGCCCATTGAAAGCAGATTTTAGTTTAAAAGAGTAGTAATGGTTATCACTCCTTATGTCTTGCCAAAGGTGGAACAGAAATAGAAGATCATCCAAAAAGGTTATTCCAAGGATCCACCAACATGCTTGCCTCTGAAGTGTCTCATCAGGCAGACCTTGGGGGATGGTAAATGCTGTGCTACGTATTGTGTTGGTTTCATCAGAAACACTGCAAGTCTTTTTTCATCTAGCAATGATCATGCATGAAATGGCTTTTTTGTTATTAATACATCCCATAATTTTGAAACACTGAGATTAACTCAGTAAGGGGATGGTAATACTCACTAGAACTGGATTCTTTCTAGGACTGACTGCTAACAAGCTTCATGTATGTGGGAGCTGAGCATGTTTAGGAAAAGAGAACTCTTAGCTGGCAATTTTTGGGGTCTCATTTCAAGTTGCAATGAAATGTGAATATTCATGCTTGTGGGTGGGCTTGGTTCTTTTTATAGTTTTTTTTTCTCCTTCCCCTTAGTCATGTAGGAAAATTAGTCTGTCTGACCCTCCCTGCTGGGAGGAGATAAAAAGTACTATGGAAGAAGTGGTAACAACTTGGAATAGCAAGGAATTTTGATGTAGCATTTTTGTCAAGAGGTGAATAATACCCAGGGTGTGCCCACACACCCCTCGTGGCAGGGTTGTTAAAGTACATTTGTCCTTTTTGCCCCTCAGCTGATCTTTGTAGCTGTGAGCCCATTGCAGAGGCAATAATAAAAGAGGTGTTTTAAAGGTACTTGAAGAGCACACCCTTCTGCACACCCTGCTCAGAGGAGGCCTGGCCTTTGGGCTTAGGAGATGGTCGTTTTTGGAAACGCTTCGATGCTGTTACTGTTGATGGATCACCTATAGTTATAATGTTGTGTCCTGGGAAATATGTAGTGAATGGTAGAGCTGCAGGATGTGCAGTTCAGCATGGGCTCTCCTGACAAAAGAGGCCTCTGGATATATGCCCAGGACCTTGTAGGAGACAGGGTGAAGCTTGCAATGAACTGCTGAGCCCAGTGCTGCTCATCTCACCTGCATGTGGTTTCTGGAGGAGGAAATGGGCAGAATTTTACTTGTCTTTGGAAGCCACTGCAAGGGTTGCAGTTGCAGATGTATTTCCAATCACAGGGCTTAGTGGTCCTTCAGAGATGTGCATTTGTTTTTAAAATGGCTTTATGATGCATGGAAGCTACTGTTTGAGAAGCCTGCCTCATTTCTCCTGTCTTGATGTTACTCTGTTTTCAGTCTGTCCTCACATGCTCTTGATGACAACAGAAGCAGTGCAGGCTCTTCCTGTGACTCACCAGCTGAAGTTGGCACCAACACAGACTCTCCAGTCTCACTTCCTGACTCCAGATCTCCTTTTTTACCAGTAGATCTTGCAGCTAAATTGCCAATTAATTAAGAAGCAGAAGTCTGCTCATGGACACCAAGGAAAAGGCTGACTATCAGTAAGACTTCCTCGTGTGTGTAACTGATTCTGTTCCTCATAGGAACTTCCAGAAATGTCATGATTTCTAGAAAACTTCCAGAATAGTTCCTTGAGGAGGAATTCACATTTCTAGTGATTTGTATGACATTTACTAAAATATAGTAAGCATTTGAATTGCAAATATAAGTGATGCTAACAGCAGTAAGCAAGCTTGTGGATTTACAGTGGAGATGACCTTCTTGGCCTGAGTTACTAATAACTGTACATCTGCTTGTGGAAGACCTGGCTTGCCAACAGGCCTTGTCCTCACTAATACGAAGTGGTTGTTATGTAGTGACAGCTTTCACCTCTGTCCTCAGTCTGAAACCAAGGCAGAAGCTTGCTAATTTGTTTTTTATTCCCCAAGTGTTAGATATGTATATTTTTTGTTCTTCATATGAAAGGGGAAGTATAAAGGGAGGGGGGAACTGATTCTTGTGTTCTATTGTGATTGGCTGTTAATCAGTTCTGTGTGCTAATAGACATCAAAAAAACAAGTTGGTAAATGGTCAACTTAAATTTATATGTTGGATTTTATTCATGATCATGAATTATTAATGGTCATCACAGAATTCTCTGATTCTGTGATTGTGACTGAACACAAATTAGGTGTGGAACATCCTTCTGGGGGTTTGTACTGTTTTTCTTCCCCATTTAGATGATGTATCAGAGTGGTAGGTGCTCTGTGAAAGGTCTTCTAATAGAGAAAAATAGTAATAATGTTTGGCACAAAGCATTAAATGCTGAGGTTTTAGTAGTTAGTATTTCAGAAGTGCATATTTTAACAGACAATATTCTTCTTCATATGTGACTTTTGTTGGACAAATACAGTGAGGAATCAGGCTGAGGTGATCAAACATGTTTCATCTCCTGGTGTCACGTCCTCAAACAGTGGCATCAAGTTATTTCTGCTGTTGAAAACTTCAGATGCTGATGGGAAGTCTAGATTTTGGTAATCTGAGATGTTTCAGGGCTCTCATAGTGCCTTTGAAAAGTCCAGGGGTTGAGGCATCCTGGTCTCAACTCAGGAGTTCCCCAAACAGGAGGAGGAACCTGCAGACCCCACCATAAATGGCTGGTTTTGGTTGTTATCTTCTGTTGTGCAGTTGAACTTCCCAGGCTGAGTCCCCATTGGTACCAGTGTGAGTGTGTCTGTACTATGTGGTTTCAAGCCTTCTCCCCAGAGAGGTTAATAATGAAACAACATGTTGTATTTTTTAAACACTAAATCTTTGCAATGTGTAGTAAAGTGAGAAAAGTATGGAAACTTCCTCAAGCAGGAGAAAAGCCCTCTGAACTCTGCTGTGGAAGATTCCCATGGATGAAGCTTTGATTGGCAGCAGCCATCCAGATCAGACATGGATGTCTTGGAATGCAAAGACCTGGGGACCACCAACCAGTTTCTGTATGTCCTTACTGTAGAAAGCAAACAGAATGTATTTAATGGTTTTACTGGGTTCAAGGAAGAGATGACATGGTTGGCTTCTGACTTCATTCCTCTTAACTTCTTGTAATAGCCAACTTCCTGACTGCAGTTCCTTTTGGAATTCAGGCTGCCCTTCCTCCCCGTGGCAGAGGGACAAGCTTGTGTTTCATGTCTGTTTGTCCTGTCTAATATGGCATCATTTCCTTTTGCAATTTCAGGTATGTGCCAAAGAGTTGCTGTGCATTCACTCTTTTGTGGTGAGGGCAAGATTTTTTCTTTCTTTTTTTTTTTTTTAATTCTCATTTATTTCTAAAGAATGAACCTCCTGGTGTCTCTTACAGTCTTTTTTTTCTAAAGATGCATCAGTTAGAGGAGTTTAATAGTTGTGTGTGAGTAAACTTGTCTCTTTTCTGTTGAATATTTATGCTGTTTTTCAAAGAAGTGCCAATAAATGGAAAAATAAACATGCTTTGCTGTTCCTGCCCTTTGTTAGAGAGATAACCATATTCTTGTTTTCATCTGTGATTTAATGCTTTTCTTTTTAAATCAGCATATCTATTGTAACCCATTTCTACACAGTCTAGTTTACATTTAAGTTGGCCTTAAAATCTGCAGCAGGCTTTTCAGTTTCTTAGTGCAATGTTGTCTTAAAGCTCTGTGATAACTCGAGGAAAACCAAAGAATAAAACCAAATGTTTTCCAAAGGCTTTAATAGATAAATGTGTCCCTAGTTGATACCCTAGGGAAGTCATGGTGAAGTAGTTTGGAAGCTAGAAGGTGCAGCTGGTGGGTGGACAGTAGGCTCTTCCATCTTGGGAAGAAGTGGAGAGTCTTTGTGTCTTGCTTTAATAGGGCAATTAATGCTGTTGGAGGAGAGATTAATTGTTATCTATCTACAGTTGTCCCTTTCCCTGCTTTTGCAAAACAGAAAGAACTTGGGACTTGTGGGAAAAGGCATCTCAATTTCTTGTCTGTTCATGTCATCCAGAAGCTGCAGTTTTACACCCTGGATTCAGGAGATGTGCAGGGGTTTTGCACTGAAATAGAATTGATTTGGTTGGAAAACCTTATAAGATCATCAAGTCCAACCACTGCCCCAGCACTGCCAAGACCACCACTACCCCATGGCCCTCAGCACCACATCTGCACAGCTTTTCAATACCTCCATGGATGGGGACTCAGCTACTTCCCTGGGAGCCTGTGGCAGGGCCTGACAATCCTTTCAGTAAATAAATTGTTCCCAATATACAGTCAAGTTGTTCCTCTTGTAAGTTACTTCCACTTGTACCTTGGGAGAAGAGACCAACACCCACCTCACTCTAACCTCTCTTCAGGGAGCAGTGGAGAAGAAGAAGGAATGAGAGATTAAATTTTGGAACCAAATGATCATGTGAAAAATGTATCTGGATTCAGGGAATTAGGGTATTCTACAACGTACATGATCAACCCTGTACTCACATAGTAACTCAAACTGTTAGTGTTACCTTGATGTTACTAATTCCCCACTGACTCATGACGAGTGAACACTGAAGCTTTGCTCAAGTAAGCACTGTGGTTATGGGGCCTGTGACCTTCCTAACTGATCTGAGTTTGTGGCACTCATGTCTGTGCCTTTGTCTTCCTCAGAGAAGAACTGGGCAGCTTGCTTGTCTCGGCCCAATACTGGAAGTATTTTGATCATATAGATAGTAAGAAGTACAATATATAGGTATATATTATAGTATATAAATGTTTTTTATCTGCAGCTGTTTTGGGGCATCCAGGTGTTTTCCTCAGGATTCTGACCCCCTCTCCAATGACCCCCTTCCAATGTAGTGCGTGTCATCAGCCCTGGATTAGTCTACTTGAGAACTATCCTGGAGGGCTTGGTGCTTAAATCAGGTCTTGGGCCAGGGTGTCTTCCTTGACAGCTGTTAGGTGTTTTTCTTCCCTCCACCTTCTCCAGAATGCTGTAGCTGCTGAGGGGACTGCAGTAACTGTGCCAGTGCTCAGGGGGATGGTATTTTTGGAATGAGCTATTTGGTGGTTACTGCATTTAGCAAAGGAACAGATACTGCACACTGGAAGAGAGGTGCAAATGTGGGCTGAGGTACAAAATGAGCCTGTGCATCAGCCAGATGAACTCACTAGGGTCTTGTATGTGTTGTCAGCAAACCAGTGGATCTGAATGCTCAGCAGCTGCCCATGGTCCTCCTGAGATTAGTGTAACAACTTAATCCTAAACTCATTCTTTTCACCTTTCTTCAGATAGTTTGTGTGCAAATGATTGCCAACCCATACAAACAGAACAGATCTCCAGAGTCTTGTGGTGGTGAGACTAAGATAGTTCCATTTGTGACTGGGTGGTGGCTCTATCAGTGCTGTATCTGTGTGACCAGCCCTGCTCTGGGGAGATCATTGGCTAGTGAAGTGACTAAAGTCAGGAGTGACCCCTGGAGCTCCAGCTTCCTGCTTGAGAACATTTCTTGTGCATTTCTTAGCAGTAGTTCCTTCAGAAATGTTCACTTTATGTTGTGTTCTTGCATATGTTGGAGTCATCACTCACTTAAAATAGAGAACTTCAGGAGTCATCATTAACATGTGTGAGCTCTTCAGATCCTGTTTTAAGCAACCTTTCTAATCACCAACTGACAGATGGAGTTTAAGTTGATCCCTTTTCTGGAAGCACCAAGTTAAAATATTTGTGAATGTAATCAAGTGTTTACAGCTACAGTGCAATAGTTAAAGCCCTATCAATCCAAAGAAGAGCACTTGGCTTGCAGGAGTCCTTTTCAATAACTGGAGGCAAAAATTGTCACCTCGTGGTTTTTTTATTTGGGATGTTTCCTAAGGGTATGTCTTGGGTGATTAGTTGTTTGACCTGTAACAGTAGTTTTCCCATTTCTGTGTATTTGGTGTGAGCAGCAGTGTTTGACAAACTCAAGGCCAGTTGAGAGCCAGGCTTGGTCAGGAGCTGCCTGTGGGCTCCAAGGAGGCAGCCACCCTGCATCCATAGGACCCAGGCCCCATGGACATGCTGAAGGGACATGTTGCTTCCCCTGTTGGGGTTTTGTGGTAGAAGCATGAGAGAGGAGAGGAAAAGAACAAACCAAACAACCCACCCCCCAAGAAAACAAGGGAGGGAAAATAACCTTGTTTGACTTTCAGGAGCTGGCTCAGGATCAAAAATATCACAGGGGGGAGGAGCTGGGTGTATTTAAACCAAAACCAAACATGGCCTCTTCATGCCTTCCTGCTGGTTCCCCTGTGTCTCTCAAGGAACTAGTGAGACTTCTCAGTTCCCAGGAAGATTCCTCAGACAAATTTATCACTTAGAATTCTGCTAGTTTAGTTGCTGCTTCTTTTACTTGCTTTGTAAGAGCCTTGTAATATGCTGGTTATTTAAGACTTCATTCTATGATTAACAGTGGCATGTAAATGTTTAGATTTTGCTGGATGTCTCGGTAGGATGAGCTGCTCATGTGGGCACAGTTTTTGCTAAAGGTACTGATCCTTGCTTCTCATGATTAGTTTTTCCCTTTGTGTGGAGAAAAATCACAACCACAGTGTGGGGATTGTGCCTTGGTTTCTGTGGCACCAGAATCATTGACTGTGTTGTCTCTGAAGCCAGCACAGATCAGGCTGTGTGGCACTGAAATGCCTGCAAGAAACTTCCTGCTAAAAATAAATCAAGATTCTTTCATTTTAAGCACATTCACTTCAGCAGTAGGGTTTGATTTGGGGGATTCCTGGCAGATTCCTGAGGGAAAGGCACTGCTGGGTTTGGTGATGTGGATGAAACGTGGGATTCCAGAGCCTCCCTGCAGAGTTCTGTTTGTCTCTTGGTGGCTTCTTGTTTGTCAAAGCATTTGCTTTTCCAATGCCCTGAAGTTTTTCCCTTGAGTCACCTGGAGTGTTTTCAGTTTCCTGGAGAGGAATGCTCTAATTTTGTCATTGTAAAGTCTGTTTTGTTACTGTGAATTTTATTGTTAATTCCTCTCTTTGTTGTTGGTTGTGTTTTTTTGTTGTTGTTGTTTGTTTTTTTTTTCCAACTGTAAACATGGATTTAAGCTCCATTACAGACTCTGTGTCTCTGATATGCATTTCATCAGTCATTTTTGGTCCTCCTTGGTCCCTCTTGTTGGAGTGGCCTCAGGATGGCTGCCAATACACATGTCTGAATTGATATTCCCCAAGAGAGGTAGCACAGAGAACCTGCTCCTCAGGTGAGCCTTCTGCTCAGGGTGAGGAGATCATCCCTTGCTTTGACTGTGCAGCTGTAATCATGGTTGTGTTCTTGCTTTAATTATTCCTTTGCAGAGTCTCTGCTTCACCAAGAGCTTTGCAGTTTTTCAGAGCAGATACACATTAGCTACAGTTAATTATCCAAAGGAAACAGCTAGTTAGCATACAGCAGAGAGCTTCTGCAGGAGACAAAAATAGACCAAAAAGGGAGTGTATCCTCTTGCTTGGCTTCAGCTGTTAGGCTGTGTTGTCTGCCTGTGTTCATTCCTGCAGTACACGTTTTGTGAGGATACACACATTCTCTGGACTCCTTTCATTTAGACGTCCATGATCTTTAAATGGCTGTTGCTGGGCTGCTTGGCACTGGTTTCCTAATCTTCACTAGCTTCATGTGGAGCAGCACTGAGCAAGTGATGTGCTCCTGCCAACAGCATGCTCCACTCTCCTGCAAGGGCTTGAGTCCTGATTTCATTTCCTCAGGTAGTAAGCTCTGCCTGCAGGTGACAGACTCCACTGCCAGCACCATGAACTTTGATGTGTCCCCTCCTGCTCTGGTGAGAGGTGGTGCCTTCTGCAGCACTGCTGTGAGGAGCACAGGGCCCAGTTTCACAAGGACGTGGGAAAGAACCTGTTTCTCTACAGCTGTGCAGCTCCTACCTCTGCCTGCAGCCAGGCAGAAGGATGAAGCCCCACGATTCCCCAGCCCTGCGTGCCTCCTGTTGCATCCTGTTCCCTTCTTTTTTCAGCCAGGAGGGTCTCACCAAGTCAGAGAGCAAAGTACCTGAACTGCCTCTTGGCAGGGAGCATGAGGATTTTTTTTGTTGTTGTTGTTTTTTTTAAAGCCTCCTGTACAACTTGGTCCTTGAATGTTGAAGTTGCACTGGATCACCACAGGCCCTGTGAAGCTCACATCACTTGGCACTTGAGAAGTTCAGTTCCTGTCAACAGGGCGTTCCTGGATCTGGTTTGCTGGCTTGGGCATGTTCCCTTCTGCAGTCTTGCCCCAGCAGTGGGATGGATTGTCAGTGCAGTAAGTTTGAAGTAGGAGATTCATACTCCTGGCAGAGCAAAGGGCTGATGGAACGTGGCATTTCTGAGGAAAACTGTTACAAGGAAAGCAAGGGATCCTAAATATACATTTACAAATGAGGGCTAAAATACAGTGATTTCTTGCCAAGCCTATTTGGCAGCATCTTTCCAGTTTGGGCTTGCTGGTTATCAGATACTTGCTACATGTGACCATAAAATGAAATAATATACAGTTGGCTTTGACAATTCAAAGTAGTAGTTCATTCCAGGAAGGACTTCTCTGTTTCACTGTTGAAAGCACAGTTCTGTGCATGGGCTTCCACAGATGCCACCATTAAGCTGTTTAAATGAGAGCGGGGGCTGTTCCTGATAGTGCCCTTGGTTGTCTTCCTGGGGCAAACACCAGAGCAGCTCACCATTTCCCTGTGCAGGGCCTGGATCTGCTTCCAGGTGGTTCCATACAAGGCTGCTGGACCCAGTCTCCAGTCCTGGGGAGCTCCATCAGCTGTGATCCCTGGTGAAATGAACTGATTCTTTGAAAGGAGCTGGGAATGTTTAGTTTGAGGAAGAGGAGACTGAGAGGAGACCTCATCAGTCTCTACAACTACCTGAGAGGTCATTGCAAAGAGGTTGGTGCTGGTCTCTTCTCACAGGTAATTAGTGATAGAACAGGAGGGAAGGGATTCAAGCTGCACTAGGGGAGGTTTAGACTGGACATTAGGAACAATTTCTTCACAGAGTCGTTGGACACTGGAACAGGCTGCCCAGGGAGGTGGTTGAGTCAGCATCCCTGGATCTGTTTAAGAGGCATGTGAATGTGGTGTTGGTGGAGATGGTTTAGGGGAGAACTTTGTAGAGTAGGGATGATGGTTGGACTCGGTGATCCCAAGGGGCTTTTCCAACCTGAATGGTTCTATGATTCTCTGCCCCTGCAGCTCTGAAATGGCTGCATCAGGACTCTGGTAGTTTTAAGCATTCTGTGATTTGCTCTTTTGAGAAATCAGGGACATCTGAGCAATTTCTGGTCCAGACAAGTGCTAACACCCACAGGAGATCAGGTACCAAGGCTGCACTACGAGGCGTGAGGCTCCTTCCAGTGCTCTTGGCAGCTCACTCACCTCCTGCCCCAGCACTGCTGGTCAGAGCTGTTCGTGCCACAGCAAGTCCTGGGTAAACACCAGGACTCTCTGCAGGGAGATCTTAAAGCCCTCAACTCTCTGCTCAAAATACTTTTCCATTTCAAGGAAATGACTGTTCTGTTTGTGTTAAGAGTCAGGAATGGGAAATGACGTGAACACTTAACTGTTTTTCCTGGTGTTTTTAAGAGCACACAGAGTCACTGTCTCAGGCCTTTTTTCCTAAGATGTTCAGTGGGTTCATAAGTCTATTAAGTAGTAGAGGAGTGTGCATGCATATATGTGTGTGTATATACAAATACATACATATGCATGAGAAAACATCTTCTAAACCTTGTGTATCCTGGTAAAATGCTACTAGAGTCTCCCTGTGACCACACTGTGACATGCAGTGACACAGTCCTGAACTGGAACTGTCCCCAGGTCCTGTTTTCCCAACACAAATACAGCTGTGATTACAGAGTGCTCCTTAATCTCCCTGAAGTAGAAAGAAGTCCAAATTCACACTTGTCAGGCTCATTTTGCCCAAGCACCAGTGTTACCTGCATCTGCTGAGTTACACTGTGCATTTCATCTTTCCTTATCTGGGTATTGCTCCTTGCTTGCCCTTGAAAAAGAAATTACTCAGTGTTTTAGTCTTCAGTTGCTGATAAGCCTTTGTAACACATTTCTTTGGTCAAGGTGGGTTTCTAAACCAATCACTTATCTTTAAACTGCCTGGAAACAAAGCCTGTCAGCCCAGGTCCTTTTCTCCCCTTCCCAAGCCCAGTGTGTGCACAATCCTGCAGGACTGAGGCACCACCACTTGGTTGCAGTGTCAAAGTTCCTGCCTGTGGGATTCTTTGACTCCTGGACTTCTGCAGGTGCCATGATTGGAGCTCCAGGAAAAAAGGTTAGTTGGTTTGAGGTTGTTTTTTTTCCATCATCCTGGGCCTGTAAGACACATTGTGTGTGAAGTCCTGTGACACTCACCCACGTAAACGTTTAGACACAGGAATGCAGAACAGCCAGGCTAAGGTACCTCATGGCAGTTTTAGCTCCCAAACTTCAGTTTCCTCACCCTTTCTCAAGAAGAGGCAGGTTAGAACACCTCATGAAAATCAGAATTGACAGTGCAGGTACAGGAACACACAGGGGCTGCAGACCAGTGCTGGAACAGACCTCTCAAACCAGTTAGGAAATATTTTTAAATGTTTGACTGTTTCTTTATCATCTGCTGTGCTGATAGATGACACCATCTACATTCTTCTGAGAATCAAACTGGAACAACATTTTGTTGCCCTACAGAGACTGAGTTGTGTTTTATGTAAGAAAAAATGTACAGGGATGAACAAACTCAACCTTTCTCCTTTTTATTTTTATCTGCATGGTTTCTTTGTCCTTCCATGCATAAACAGATACGTGACATGCAGAAGAAAGACTCCATTTCCAAAGTGTTTTTAATAGAGATCAGAGAATATTCTATAGACTTGTTATAAACAAAGATTTGGGTGTATGAATCAAACACATTAACAGTGGCCCTTCCTTCAAAATGTTTTGAAACTTAATACCTTGACAATAAAATGCCCAAGGAAGGGAAATACTTGTTATATGAAACAAGGTAAATGTTCACCTAGAGTATAAAACTGGAATTTCAGCAGG